CCATCCAACAGCCATCGAATTCACCCGATATGGCTCCCTGCGATTTTTTTCTGTTCGATCGAGTCAAAAAACCACTACTAAGAGATAATGGAAAAATCGAAGACGGCTCTGATGGCTGTACCGACAATAGAGTTCCAGAAATGTTTCGAGAGCTGGATCAAGCGCTGGCATAAGTGCGTTGCAGTCGATGGGGAGTACTTTGAAGGGGATAATATCATTTTTGATGAATAAACTTGTATTTTGAATTTTCTGTATGAATTCCGGGAACTTTTTGATCAAAGTATTATATTTTATACAGGGTGTACCCTAAGTACGTTAAAAGATTTTAAAGGGTGATTGCTCACACAAATTCAAGACTAAAACTTCATATGACGATTTGTCGGAAACGGCTTAATTTCAGAGATACAAGGTGTCAAAAATGGAAAAAAAATTTCGTTTTTTCCAAAAATTTCAAAAACCGTTCGAGTTATTTTGATGTAACTTGGTATGTTTAATGGACATGAAAGTTTATCTTTTAGGACTATACATTATCTTTTGATTCAATCAGGAGGGAGAGCCTAAGGATAAGCAAAACCCCTTTTTTACGAAAAAATTTTCCACTTTTCAGTTTATTGTAACTGATAATCAAATAAAATGACTTTGTTCATCAAAAGATAATAAGTCCCAAAAAATAGGCTTTCATGCCCATTAAACATATATCAAGTTACATGAAAATAACTCGAACGGTTTTTAAAATTTTTGAAAAAAAAACGAAATTTTTTTTCCAACTTTGACATCTTGTATCTTTGAAATTAAGCCGTTTCCGACAAATTGTTACATGAAGCTTTAGTTCTTGAATTTGTGTGAGCAATCACCCTTTAAAATCTTTTAGTGTACTTAGGATACACTCTGAACGCACGCACGCACGCACACACGATTTCTTCATAACGACTTAAAACACTATACTATTTATTACGTCAAAATATCTTACGAGAAAACGTCCATGCCGCCTTTCCCCGAGTCATGTAACTGTTGCACCTTCTGTAACACTCGACATCCTTTCATTATTGCGCCTTCGTAAATTTCCTTATGACTTTTGTATTTTGCGGGAATTCTGTCATGCAGAATCGGATCACTTAGAAAGAAGTTTTCTGTAAATAATAAACTCGAATGACTTGAAAAAAAAAAATATATATATAATTTAATAAACTTTTGTATTAAGAATTGCAAATAAGCAAACAAGGGACCGTCACATAATGGCCAAAAAATTAGACGATGATTTTGTGATAATCCGATGGAGTACCCTTCAATGAGTGAAGTTTATTTGCTAATATAACGCGTATTACTGGATTTTTGGACCGAGAAAGTTGGCTGCCAGTGAGATCCGCAAAGCTCATAGTCAAGACATCATTGCACTCTCAAATACGCATGCGCAGTCAAATGGCATGAGAATGGCCACTAGTTCAAAAAAAGAGTTTTTACGCATACGGATTTGTGAAGATAATTTATTACGGAAGATAACAATGAACAATGAAATATGACGTACATACTAGAGAATAAAAATTCATGCATTTTTAGATTGATTGTAATATGTTTATTAATTCTAATGTGTACAATTAATGTGTAAGTTATCAAGCAAGCAGTGCTTGAAACAATAACATTGTTCGCAATATGCGCATTTAAAATTGGAAGACTGCTCGCAGTTAGGATATGAGCAGCTGGAAAACTTGTCAAATGAAAAACAAAACTGCGCCGGGATTTTGAATGGTTTCGGCCGCTCATCCAGATAACCCGCCCTGTAAAAGGTATACTTCACCATGTCACGAAACATGGGCGCCTGGAATTGAAAATGAGCAAATGCTTGCAATTTGAAGTAATTGTTTCGCTTCCAAATTTCATCGCATATTTCAAGGGAATCTGATATATGCCGTATAAATTGCTTGTACGGCCGGAAATAGTACACGTCGAGAGGCTGGATCATACCAGTGGTACCTTCAGGAATCAACAGCCTCTCTACTTCCAGTTGCCCTTCATACTTGGCAAGGACTTCTTCGAACAATTTGGTGTTCTTGTTGGAGATCCAACTATCAGCAAGCAAAAGGCACTTTTTATTGCTTTTGCTAATTAAATATTGGAATAGCAAATCCAGATATATCTTCGAGTCTGCGTTATCATTGCGCTAGTCCCTGCATACGCTTTAATGATGTCGGGAATGACGGGCTTAATAATTTCTGGAAACTTGCCGTTCGTTTCTTGAGACTTTAAACAGAGAAAGTCCATTACTGTACCCGAAGCGTCGATGTTGCCCATTACTATGTACGAATGCATAGTTGCACTCTTCGAATCCATAGCCGCAAATACTTGTTTAGTACCTTTAAAAGCCAAGGTGCGGTAACTGTGAAGTTCTTTATCAAATCTCGATTGATCGATGTTGATTACTTCATGAGGTTCATAGTTTTTCTCGCTAATGGTCTTCTTGACCAGATCGACGAATTGGACTGTTTTGGTTTCCAACTCCAATCGTTTTTTCCAGAAGTTTTTACCAATTTTATGCGTAATACTTCGAGACAACGTTGTATTTCCGTTTAAAGTTTAGCAGTCAACCATGGGATGCATTGAACTTCATGTTGGGGTTGATTTTATTCTTTGCTTGAATGCCCCATTTTCTGATCTGCAGATCGTTGACTATTCGATGATTGTCTCTCTTCTTGCAAAAAAGCTCGTATACTCGCAGGTTGACGCTTCTAGCAGAGCCATAGCCGCTGTTTTCGATCTTTTCGGTCCACTTGCGAAGACGTTTCAATCCATCGCCGACTATGGGAAATTGGGACTTGACATTAATTTCGGTCCTCCTTCGCTTCCCCAACGTTTTAACGTATTCGCGGGAGATTACGATAGGCTATCCATAATCGTCCTGTTTGGTCCAATAACGATAGGCCTTTTCCCATTTCCAACGAGGAATGTTCTCCTTGAATACACAACATTTCTTTGGCTCGGGTTCAGGAACATATTCGGGATCATTGTCGACGTCGTCGATATCATCATCCTCTGCGTCCTCTTTGAATTCGTCAGATCCGATGAGGTCAACTGGCTCGGGAATGTAGGAATTAATGCCTGCGTCGAAATCGATGTCCAGCGTATCAATGCTCTCGAGGATTAAATCTTGATCGACGAGCTGTTTGTTAAGCTGCACCATCATCACTATAATAATCAAATTGATGAGACTCGGATGCGATAACGTTTTCCAGCTTTTTTATCGGTATCTTATGGTACCTTATGGATCTGAAAAGGGCCGTTTATTTGCTGTATTGTGAGTTTTGGTACTTTGGAACATAATTAAAAGAAAGAGTTCTCACGCACACGGATGTGTGTACGTACGTGTACAAAGACTTCAATATTTACAAGCTGCGGCTTTTATTGCCGTTGAAACGCTCCTTCCACCACAAATCATGTTGCCTTTTCAGGACTGGAAAAGCAATTTTTATCAAGACTACCATCTGATCCTAATGTGCCCATCATTCAGATGAGGAGCAAGTGTATGCCTCGATTTATCGGTATCATCAATATTAGTGGCCATTCTCATGTCATTTGACTGCGCATGCGTGTTTGAGAGTGCAATGGTGCCTTGACTATGGGCTTTGCGAACCTCACTGGCAGTCAATTTTCTCGGTCTAAAAATCCAGTAATACGCGTTACATTAGCAAATGAACTTCACATATCACTCATTGAAGGGTACTCTATCGGATTATCACAAAATCATCATCTAATTTTTTGGCCATTATGTGACGGTCCCTTGTCAGACAGCAATACGAGCTATATAAATCCAATTAATATGTTTAATAGATAGTTAAATTAAATAAGAATCAAATTGAATAAACAAACTAAACAATTTTAAATGATCAAATCAAATTAAATTGGCAAATAACAATTAAGATCCGACCGTGTAAATGTACAACATACATACGTTTGAGAGCGCCAATATGCGGTCAAAGTTAGATGTTATAAATATAATATATATTCTTAATTTAAAAAAATTTTTAATTATCTCAGATGTGACTGTGCGCCGAAATATTCGCATTAACCACAATCGAAAAATATTACCTCAGCTAGAATTCGAACCTGGAACCTCTCGACTTTCTGGGGCGAGTGTCTTAGCTAATTCGACACCGAGGCAAATCGAATTGGCTAAGACACTCGCCCCGGAAAGTCGAGAGGTTCCAGGTTCGAATTCTAGCTGAGGTAATATTTTTCGCAATAAGTTCTTTACCGAATTAATTTAGGGGGGATTATTTTCATATATATAGGAATGTTCGAATGTTTCGGCTTCTCGGAAGAGAAATACTACTTCGATTCACAATTTAAATGTTTTCAATGATGATAGAATAACAATCAATTTCCGCAAGTTATAATTTTATATAATTTGCGTCAGTATCAATAATATAATAATAACAGACGTACGTACAGTAAAGAGTCTAAAATGAATATATTAATGTGAGACAGGGATGGATTTACTATAGGGGCTTAATGGACTATAGCCCAGGGTGACAAAATGTTGTGGCCATTTGTCCCACGCGACTGCAGGCAGGGGTTACGTGTAGGAGTAGAGTGGGGGTAATTCGCAGAGGCGTACGGCGCGCCGGGCACCTCCCTCCACTCTCCACTCCCACCCGTAGCCCCGGCGGCGGCAGCGGCGTACGGCTGAGGTTTAGCCATACGCCGCGGTGTGTCGTACCCACCAAAACCCTTCTCGTGAGAGAAATTAGTCCTCGATTATTATATATATGAGATCGAGCCCGGCAATCGGTAACGATACTTACGAATTTTACAATACGTCAGATACGTGAGAATTAGTGTACCACAATATTATATCCATTTATGTTTCATATTTTACTATATGTTTTATCTTTCGTATTTTAAAATCAAATAAATTTCTTGATTACTATATACATGATGTAATAAAGAAGGTGTGTTCCTATTATGGTTACTTTTTCGTCCTGATTTGCGCAGGTCTCAACTGTCGGCCATATTTGATTTATGTGTGTGTATTGGTGTACATATATAGTTCAGTGTGTTTGTGTATATGGGGAAAGTCATGATAAGGTTATTTTCAGTTATTTTCACGTGTTTACAACAGTGCGATCACTTTTAAGCCGTTGGAATATAAAAAAAATTAATGACAATGCCGTTGTGTGCCATGAAAGGGTGTAAAAACCGTTCTGGAAAAGGAAAAAGGGATATCCGATTTCTTTCTTTTCCAAAAAAAAAAGAGAAATGTGTGAGAAGTGGATACAGGCGTGTGGAAGGAAAATTGGAGAAATTAAGGAGAAGAATGGTATGTACTGTAATGTTAATATAATTTACTTGCCAGTTTATCTTCTTATTATTAAATAATAACGAAATATATATATTTATTTATTTATTATTTTAAATGTGTAAAAGATTGTATAACGAACTATGTTTATTCAATTTCAAAAAAGTATGGTCTATATCAATGTACGTTACCTTTCTTTTATTTATTTATTATTTATTGTAAATATCATACGCGTTGAACATATTTGGTTTAAAGGAGTTCTTAAACGTTAGAAAATATTGAGAACAAGTCGTACTTAAATATTGTTTATACATCAGAATACAGTATTTTCAGTTATTACAATTGCATACAAAATTTTAAACAAAAAACCAATGCATTCAAATAATTATGAAATTTATTTATGCAGCTCGTGTATGCTCAGCTCATTTTGACGAGTTGTGCTACAGAAAGGTGTCCTTCGTAGACGAGTTAGCAAGCAGGAACACCAAGGAATTCTCGGCCACTCAATCGAGATGCTGTACCGTATACATTTCCAGGGAACTGTGGTAATATACGAATTTTATTTTATACATTCACAACTTTCGGCAGCATATTCATGACTTTTATTCATGTATTTATTGTTTTATTCATGAAATAAAATGAAATACAATTTACGTACTATTGCACTTTATGTAATATTTAGTTTTCGATTGACAATTCATATTTCAATAATTACTTTTAGTGCCTGACGCTACAGACCTGATGCCGAAAATTAGAGTGACCTGTGAAGATCCTGTGACGTTACCTGATATCGCTGGTAAGTATACAAAATTTTTTTTGTCTTGTGTACACATTTTAGAA